GAGAGCAACGTGTGGAGTCAGACTTTTGGTTTTCACCACAATTAGGAGAGCAGGGGGGCTCAGAAAAAAGAGAACTTCAATGATCAGAGAAAGTGTATTTTCTTTAGTTTTTGAATGGACCCTCAACTAGTCATCCTGCCGTCCTGGCTAGCAGGGGCCTGGATGAGTGGACAGGGTCCTTAGGCTTGGGCCCCTCAACCCACGTTCATTTGGATGTCATGGGCACAGTTAGAGCGTGGTGTCCTTCCACCGGGGCCCAGGACAGTTCTTAAGCTGGGGCTCTGCTGACATTTCTGGACTTAAGGTGACTTCCATTTGGGGCTCTTAGAAGATCAGAACTTTGCTGAGCTTGGAGCAGGGATCAGTCAGGCCCTCGGAGTCTGGAAAATGTTTCTTTCCCTTTTGCATGTGCTAACACCCTTTAATGTGCCTATTTGCTTCTCAAATCATTAGGTGGGTCAGCAGAGTAATAACATAGTTTCCTCATTTGCTTGGGAGGGGAGGGAGAGGAAGTTGAGAGCACTGGACATTTTATCCAGGTGGGCTTCACCCTTCTCAGTCTGTGGCCTTCTCTGCGCTGCCCCTCTGGAGTTTACGTGCCTGGTGTCCCCTTCTCTCAAAGTTTGGGTGACCTTATGGTTATTGTCCCTTTTGAGAGTGAGAGGGGTGCTATTCGTATTTATTCCAGAGCAGGAGACATGAACCAGGACGAGGGGCAGACCTGGGCACGTGGTCACCCTGATCCACACCCATCCTCGGGAAGGGCCTGTCCAGCTGTGACTTTGTCCTTGTCAGCAGCCTCAGGTCTTACTGAATAATGAAAGCTCTGCCTCGGGAAGTCGTTTAACCTCTGAGCCTCAATTTCCCCTTCTGTAAAGTGGGAATTAAGGTGTGCCTGTCGGACTCACTGGGTAGTTGTGAGGGCCAAAGGCGAAGGGAAATAATGCAAGCAGCTTCATGAACTTCATGTGATGAGCTGAGCAAGTGTGAAGGGAATTAGTAATAATAATAACAGGTGGTACCTGCAAGGGGCCGGGGGAGTTCTTTCACGTTCAGGCTGCCACTACACCATCCACCTGGTCAGTTGGTCTTAATTGGACAAATATTTTTGTCCACGTATAGTGGCTTTTTAAGGAGCAAGACTGAGTCCACCAGCCACTTGTGAAGCATACACATCCGTACTTGCTTTCAGCTCTAGAGTTTCATTAGGTTCCTAGAGCTGGTCAAGAGCCTTAGGATCACCTGGAAGCAGATGGCACCATGATGTTGTTTACAGATGGGGAAACTGAGGCCCAGAGGGGAAGGGACTCTCCCAGGGTCACATGAATAAGCAAAAGGCTCATGATCTTTCAGGGATGAGGCATGAGAGGGACGCTGCAGCCTGTGATAAAGGACTGAGTCTGTAGGATATGGGTAGGGGATAGCACCAGGCCTTGGCTCAGACAAGGAGCTGGGACCAGACATACACTCTTTCTCAGGGCTCTCTGTTACCCTTCCACTAATGCAGATAGTCACACCCAGAGAAGGGGGCTGTCGCCCAGCATCAGGGATACCTGTCCCCCCAGCCCACCTCCTGGCACCTTCAAGGCCCATGCAGGCTTCTGTCTGCCTCTACATATGCACTTTCCCTCCCCTGGTCACCAGCTCCTGGTCCGGCCTCTTTTTTTTTTTTTAATATTTCTTTATTGATTTCAGAGAGAGGAAGGGAGAGAGAGAGATAGAAACATCAGTGATGAGAGAGTCATCATTGATTAGCTGCCTCCTGCATGTCCTCGACTGGGGTTTGAGCCCGCAACCCGGGCATGTGCCCTGACCGGGAATCGAACCGCAGTCTCCTGGATCCTAGGTCGATGCTCAACCATTGAGCCACGCTGGCCGGGCAGGCCTCTTTTCATTAACAGAAAGTAAACAAGAGAAGCTGACCTTTCCCACTCTCAGGACAAAAGTAGGAAGGGCAGTTGCCTTGTGAGCCTCGAGGCCTCAAGAGAGGTGGCCCCTCTTCTCGTCCCCCTTCATCCCTTGATGGGGATCACTGAGGAGGTGGGGCTGGGGTGGACTCACCCTTTGCCCTTGTCTTAGGAATGTGAGAGCAGGGCACGGGCCCTGTGTCTGAGAACTTCACCCCTGGTATGCTTCTGAGAGAGAATTGGATGATCTGATGGGTTTTCAGTCTGGCCAGGGCTGGCTCCCCCCCTCAGAAATAGGCTCAGCCTACTCCTTGGGTGTGGGTTTCTGCTTGGGCATGAAGGGAAAGGGTAGGAATAGGAGGAGGCGGGTCGTGACCCAGTCACCTAGGTGGGACACTCTCTGCCTTCAGACTGGACCCGTCCTGGGCTTTGCTGCTGCCAGCCGGTCTTCCTCACCCAGGCTGCCGTGAGGAACCATCATTTGAGCCAGCAGAGGGATGGGGTGTGCCCCGTGGGCCACACCCACAGACCTTTAGCCCAGGTACTGTGTAAGCCCCGCCTGGCCAGGTGTTAACTCCTGTCCTGTGGGAGTGGATGGCCAGGGGGGCTTCCCTGGGCTGGACAGCTCGGTAGGCCTTGGCCATGAGTTCCAGGACGCAGGATCGATGATTCCTTCTCCAGGACACAGGGCAGGCTTTGCCTCCCTCCTTGCCCATTCCTTCTCCCTCACCCCATTTTCCACTGGGAGAATCACAGGGCAGGATTCTGGTGAACAGCAGGTGAGAGCCTCCAGCAGCTTCCAGTCAAACGGTCTGGGGGAGAATTCAGGGCCTGGGCCTGCCTAGACAGGACCAGTTTTTCTGTGTCCTGCTTTCTGAGTTTCCTATGAGGGTGAGGAGGAGCTAGTCTGTTTCTTTCTGTCCCACTTCCTCCCCCATGCCCAGGCCAGCCCAGAACTCCTGGGAGTGGGCCTTAGCACCTTCCCTTGGTTGCTCTCCTCCCCACCAGTTTCCCCTCTGAAAAGCTAATAGACCCAGGGGTCTACAAGATGGGGTGTGAGCAACGTGCTGCTGAGAGTGCAGGGAGAAAACCTGAGAACTCCTGGCTCTAGCTCTTTCTCATCTCATACCTTTTTTTTTTTAATTCATATTTTTGTGTGTAACTTTTACAATATACTTTCCATATTTATAAAGTGATACTTGTGTGTAATTTATAAAATAGATGTAATTTGGGAGGATTGTGCTAAAGTGTTTTACATGCTGCAACCCAAGTATTTGGGCAAGCAGAGGTCAGCAAACTTTTTCTGTAAAGGGCCATCGAGTAAACACTTTGGGCTTTGTGGGCCGTTTGGCTTCTATCCAGCTACTCAGCTCTGCAGGGAGAGCGTGAGAGCAGCCATAGATAATAGGGAAACGAATGGGTGTGGTTGTGTTCCAATAAAACTTCATTTCTGGACACTGAAATTTGAATGTCATAGAAAATTCATGACATAGAAATATTATTCCTCTTGGACTTCCCCACCCCCCAACATTAAAAAAAAAGAAGTAATTATTCTTAGCTCATGGGACCTTGGACCAACCAGTTTGCCAACCTCTGCTCTAGATCACTAGTTCTCAAACTTCAGCCTGCTTCAGACTCACCTGGAGGGTTTTTTCTGTTGTTGTTTTTTGTTGTTGTTAATCCTCACCAGAGGGTATTTTTCCATTGATTTTTCTGGAGAGAATGGGAAGGAGGGAGGGAGTGGGGAGGGAGAGAGAAAGAGAGAAACATCAATGTGAGGGACACATTGATTGGTTGCCTCCCACACTTACCCCGACTGGGGCTGGGGATTGAACCTGCAACCCAGATACATGCCCTTGACTGAGAATCAAACCCAAGACCCTTGGTTTGCAGGCCAGTGCTCTAACCACTGAGGTTCCGGCCAGGGCATCACCTGGTGAGCTTTTAAAAATGTGTAGTCCAGAACCCCAGCCCTGATTTTGTAGATTCTGTAGAAGGCCCTGGAACCTGCATTCTAACAACAGCTCAGGTGGGTTGGAAGCAGATCGCCTGAAGAGCAGATTTTAAGAAACGCAGCTCTGGAAGGTCTCCAGGGTCTTGGTCTGTTCAGTTCAGCCAGCTCTTGCTAACTGCTGGGGCATGTGACTTCTCCAGGCCTCTTTTTGCCCATTTTTGGAATCCAACCAGAGGAGGAATCCATCTCCAAGAGAACATTGGCCTGACATTTCGTGTCCCCAAAAGCTGGGGTCCTCAGCAGAGCATTCTTGGGATCTGGCCTCCACCACTCATGCCTACAAGAGGCAGAATCACCTACTAATGAAAAACACAGGCTCTGGAATTTGCTTGCTCTTAGGCACCTCACTTTGCTACTCAATTCCTTAGGTTCCTTCTTGATTGTTAAAGGGGGAACTGTAGCCCAGCCAGTGTGGCTCAATGGTTGAGCATAGACCTCTGATCCAGGCAATTGAGGTTTGATTCCCGGTCAGGGCACGTGCCCAGGTTTTGGGCTTGATCCCCAGCAGGGGGTGTGCGGGAGGCAGCTGATCAATGACTCTCTCTCATCATTGATGTTTCCATCTCCCACTCCCTCTCACTTCCTCTCTGAAATAAATGAAAACATATTTTTAAAAAGGGGGAGGGGACTGTAATATATCCCCTTGTAGGTGCTGACAGCTCAGATGAGTCATGATTTGGAATACCTAGAACAGTGCCTGGCACCTAGTAGGTGCTCAATAAACAGTTGCTACTATTGCTGCTCTTCACCAGGGTGGAAGCAGGGCGGCCCCCAGCCCCTGCCACAGGCACCATTCCCATTTGTCTAGTGCTTTAGTTTACATGGCCCTTTTCCATCGTTATCTCTTTGCATCCTCCAGCTACACCTGGGTTAGACACTGATGTCCCATTGGAAACAGACCCGGCAAGGTTACGTAGCTTGTCCAAGGGCACACAGCTGGTGCACCCCCACGAGAACCTGGCTCTCTCTGCCTGGAGTCCTTGGGGAGCCTTTCGCACCCCGGGATCTTGAATGACAACAGGACAGAGCTTAGGTTGGTTTTCTGTGGGTCCTTTACTCAGTGCTTTCTGCCCCTGCAGATAAAATACCACGAGGAGTTTGAGAAGAGCCGCATGGGCCCCAGCGGGGGGGAGGGCATGGAGCCTGAGCGCCGAGATTCCCAGGACAGCAGCAGCTACCGGAGACCCCAGGAGCAGCAGCAGCCTCACCATATCCCGACCGGCGCCCCAGGTGAGCGTGAAGCCTGTGGGGGCAGAGGACCTGAGGCCAGGCCAGCTACAGGATGGGGAGAAGCCTCATGTACACGCACACATGTGCACGCACGCACACATACACACCGTCAGGTCCCACCCCCACCAAGGGCCCTGGGGAGGGCCTGTGCTGGGCCCCAGCGTGTTGCGGGGAGAGATACAGCCCCTGCTGTAGAACACGCAACCCCTGGAAGTGTGCACACACTCACATCACCTTTGAGAAGTGGGGGTTGAGTGGGACAGTGGGAGGTGGAAACACATGATACAGGCTTTGGGGAGGAAAGGAGGAGCCCCTGGGAGGGACTGGGTTTCTCAAGATAGTTTTTGAGTCCTGTCTCCTCCCATCTTCCAGTTTACCAGCAGCCTCAGCAGCAGCAGCAGGTGGCCCCATCCTATGGTGGCTACAAGGAGCCTGCAGCCCCAGTCTCCATACAGCGCAGCGCCCCAGGCGGGGGCGGGGTGAGTAGCCCTGGCCCAAGTGGAAAGGTGGAAGGTTGAAGGTTGTAGTTGTGAGGCCTGGAGCAGCCAGAGATGGATGGGCCTAGGGAAGGACCTAAGTCATAGATTCTTCTTAGAAATCCTGCCCAGCAGGTCTGGCTTTCCCTACCTTTTGACCCCAGTTTCTATGTCCGTAGGTGATAGGGATCTCAGCCTCTAGAGCACAGAGGAAGTGTGGGATAGTGGGCAGAGCCCTGGGCCTGGATTGGGGCCCTGTGCTCCAGCTAGACCCCTCGCCTAGGTTTTCTTACTCCAGCTACCTGGAAGCACACGAAGCACCTTTCTGCTTGGGGCCACCCAGACCTGGGCCCTGCTCTCCACCCTTCATGAGGGTGACCCCCCTCCCCCATGTTCTTCAGATCTCAGCTTGCTCCTGCCTCTGAGAGGCCCTCCCAAACCATCTCATGTCAAGTGGGTCTCCCCTGACATTTTTACCTTAAAATGGTTCTCTGTTTATTGACTTCTATCTGGTCCTCCACTGGACTTGAAGCTCTGTGCAGGCAGGGCATTGTCCCTTTGGTTCACTTGCGTTGAGCCAGGCACAGAGCGGTCACTTGTCAACTTTGCTGAATGAGCGAACGAGCAAAGTGGGAAGTAAGGTGTTCTTACCAGTCCTTAGAGTTGAAGTTCCTAGTCTGTAAGTCCTGCTACTCATAGGTGTGACTGAGCCACCCTTGTTGATCTCCTGGTTGAGCTCAGCTCCTCTGTTCTGGGTGCCTAGAAATTCAGAGTAGCTCCTGTAGGAGCAGGAGGACAATACTTAGAGAAATAAAGTAGCTAGTCCTTCACGTACTAAGCGTGTCCTGGATAGGAAGGACGTGGCCCTGAATAAAAGACCACTTCCTTGCCCTCGGAGCTTTCATTTCAGTCTGAGGAAAGCAATAAGTATATACAGCGAAAGGTCAGATAGTGGCACATGCTATGAAGAAAAAGACAGCAGGGTAAGGGGAGAGAGAGCAGCAAAGTCCCCAATAAAGTGAAGAAGTGAGTGGTGCAGAAGTCCGGCAAGTTCAAAGGCCCTGAAGCAGGAATATGCTAAGGAAGTTCAAGGACCAGCAGGAAGGCTAAGGGGACTAGAGAGGGGAAGAGGGTAGGAGATGAGGTTAGATTATGCAGGGACTTACAGGCCACAGGAAGGCCTTTGTGACTGGTGAGCTATGCAGAGTGAGGGATTTGACCTGTGTTTTTTAAAGATTGCTCTAGCCACTGTGTTGAGAAGAGGCAGTAGAAAGTTGGTGGAAACGGGGATGAGTTAGAAGGCTGTTGCAGAATGCAGGTACAGATGGTAGCTACTCAGCCCAAAAGATACAGGTAGAGTTGGTAGAGATGTGAGGGCTGGGACCTCTCATCCCATAGACTTGGGGGCTAATGGAGTAGATTTCTTTTGCTTGGGGAGAAATTTTGAAATTTAGTGCTAAAGAGGCTGGGGGACCTTTGAGGATTTAAAGCCAGGTAGTAACACGATCAAGTTTGCATTTTGGAAAGTTCTCCTGAAATCACAATGGATGAACAGTTGGAGGGGACAGACCAGAAATTGGAAACAGGTCTGAGCAGGGGTCCTGGCAGTGGGGTGGAGCAGTGCATAGGGGAGGTTCCTGAGGGGCACCCCAGTCCTGGACCCATCGGCACTTGGGCCCCACTGCCAGCCCCCTGGTGATCCTAGGGCCTGGCCTAGGGGACCACAAAGGCTGAGCTGACCCACAGAGATAAGTCAATGTCAAGGGCAGTAAAGTCAGAATACATTAGAATCTTGCCCACCTCCAAGACCACACTTGGATTTCATGTGCTTTTACCAGACATTTCCTAGAGCTTAAGTATAAAAATTTGGTTGAAGTTGCAAGGTGGAAATCTCTGTGTCACCTGGAGATTTTGCTCTCAAGAATGGGCCTTTGTCCTGAGCTTGGGAATGAAGCCAGACTTAACACAGGTTCAAAAGAAGAAGAAAGACTGGTGCTTATAATAATACAGATAATAGTGTACAGGGCATATCACACTTTGAAACATTAACTGGCATCGTGTCCATGGGACCTTACTGCACTCCTATTGTGAGAGGTGGAGCAGGGCTATTGAAACCTCAGTCCCCGTCTTGTGCCTGCCTCTTAGTAGATGCCAAATACGTTGGCTGCTCTCAGAAAGTGAGACAGAGAGGTTAGAAAATTCAAGGCAGAGCCCAGCCCTTCCCTGTCTCCCAGCTCCCGGCTCACTGCTCCCCAGGCCCTGCTCCAGGGCCCCTACAGTTAGGGAGGCGGGCTGGGGCCCCAGGGGGCTGGGCCCTGGGCTGACTGTGCGCCACCCCCGCAGAAGCGGTACCGCGCTGTCTACGACTACAGCGCCGCCGACGAGGATGAGGTCTCCTTCCAGGATGGCGACACCATCGTCAACGTGCAGCAGATCGACGATGGCTGGATGTACGGGACCGTGGAGCGCACCGGTGACACGGGGATGCTGCCAGCCAACTACGTGGAGGCCATCTGAGCCCGCTGGGCCCCGCCCCGCCCCATCCTTCAGTGCATTCCACGGCATCGCATCCATCCTGGGCGTGACCTGTCCACCCTTCAGTGTCTCTGTGTTTTTAAATCTGCGACAGCTTGTTTCTTCCCACCCTCCAGCTTCTTCTGCGAACTGAAGCCTTGTTCTGCCACTTTCGCGGGCTCCTTCCTCCGGCACGTTTTCCCCTTGACCAACCTCCTGGTTTTCTCTCTGGATGGAACAGGTGTGGACTTTTCTGGGGGGGTCCGAGGCCCGTGGGGCTGGCCTGGAATGGGAGGCCCATCGGCGCCCAAGCCTCTGCCTTCTCTCTTTTACGGCCTCCTCAGATACTCCCGCCCACCTCCTCACACCCAAACATTCCAGGGCTGGGGTGACCCCAGACCCCCAGGACTCCCAGGACTCCCAGGGGAGGGGCTCCATACATTCCCGGGAGTGGGGCCCCACCTCCCTGGCCCCTGGGATGGACACGGGTCGGGGACTGCCACTGTGTAGGCACTAGTGAGAGGGCTTTGTTCTCAAAGATGGGGCTGCTGGCCCTCTGGTCCCCTCATCCCCCTCTCCCCTTCTCAAAAGACAACGGAGGAAGGTGAAAGTCCCGCTTTGGGGTTCATTCCTCCTCCCCACATGTGTCCTCCTCACACTGTGATTTTCTCTCCTGCCCACACAGACCTGGTGTGGGCTAGGAGCTCCCCAGGAAGCCCGGCTTGGGTGAAGTTCTGGCCTTTCTTACTTTTAGGGACAGCTGCAGGAAGGAAGGGAACAGGGTGTTCTCTCCCGTAGCCTGTTTTTTCCTTCACTCCTACCCCCAACCTCCAGGGACCCTGGCTCGCCTCCTTGGCTGGAAGCCGAGGTCCTGAAAGGTGGGGCAAGAAAGCCTCAGGCCTCTTGGCCTTGGAGGCCCAGCCCCCGCGATCTGGGCTGGGGGGGCCGCTCCTCCCTACTCCTCCTGGGAAGATGCCCTCCCCGCCCCCCCAAGTGCACCGGAACTGTGCAAAGCCACGGGACCCTGTATCTCCAGGACTTAGCGTGTGGGGGAAGGAGTGTGTGTGTCTGTAGGTGTGTCAGCGAGTGTGTGAGCGTGAGAGCGAGCGAAGGGCAGGGTGTGGCCTGCAGAAGTCTCTGGGCTTGTGTGAAGGTGCACAGAACTGTTTTCCCCTGATATTTTCCTCAAAACCCACAGTGAGGGAGGAGGGTTGGCCCTGCGGGGGAGAAGGTCCTTACGTTTTCTTTGGAATGAAAATTCCTCCTGTCCCCAAGTGGAAGAAGCCTATCTACCCCTCTTGCAGTGTGCTGGGCAGAAGGGGATGATTGAAGATTGGTGGGGGCTGATATAGCCTCCTGGGGTGTGGTACGGGGAAGGCTTCATGCCTCCAGGCTTATTCTCTCCCCCCATCTCTGTCCTGCACTGCCGAGCAGGGGCCAGAGGACCCCGTGTTACCCACACTGTGGGTGCCTTACTCTGGGGGCCCTCCCCCCCAGGCCCCTCCCTTACCTAAAGCCCCCTTGAGGTGTTAGGAGAGGGTCCCAGGGCTACAAAACTGGAAGCACAGACTCCGGGATGAGGAAGGGAAAGATGGTGCTATCTCCAAGTCCCTTCTGTCCCTCGCTGGTGGCTGTGACAACCCTTGCCTGGTGTTACTCATCTCTGGGCTTTCTCCCTGAGTCCGCTCAGGCCCATAGCTGACATCTTCGCATCCTTGTACCCTGCGGTGGTGGCTGCAGGCATAACGAGTCCTCTCTGCCTGTGAGTAAAGTTGGGAATATTTACCCCAAATCAGAGCTGAGGAAATGACTGTTGGGGGGTGGAGCCCCCGCCTGACCAGCCCCTTCCCTGCTTGGCCCCAGCCAGGTGAGGGCAGATGGAGGGCCTCGTACTGGGCGATTTGGGGGATAAGGGAGCAGTATTAGAAACCTGGGGAGAGGTGCTTGTCCGTTCCATTTCCTCTTGATCTCAAAGCACAACATGGATTCTGGGACCAAAGGTCAGAGACCCATCCTGTTGGAGGACCTGCGTTTGGGAGGGTGGTGAGAGGGGAGGAGGGCCTGGGGGAGCAAGAAATAGCTTTTTTACTCAGCTTAATTTTCCTTCCAAAACAAGGCAGGCCAGCCACCGGAATCTTGCTGCCCGGCCCTCTGCTCCTCCCATCCTAAAAATAGGGGACCTTTTTTTATACAACCCAGAGAGAGGAGGGACTTTCCTACTGGTGCTGAGGGACCCAGGGGCTGCTGGGAGTCCTTGTTCTTTCCAGAACCATCCATCCATAGAAGAGCACAGAATCTGAAGGCTGGGTTGGGGCCTTGGTCTTCTCTTAAAATTCACAGAGGTCTTTTAGCCAATATCCCAGGAAAGAACATATATCAAAGCCCGAATGTGAAAATAACGTTAGTGGACCAATAATAAAATACAAGAAGTTCAATGGTTAGAAAAGTGAATTCTCTCAACACTGCTTCCTGTTTTCTTCCTCATGTCCTTCTAGGGAAAACTACTTTATTGCTTAATTTCTGCCTTTTTCCCCCTTCACATTTGCACTTTGGGCCTTTTTTTTTTTTCTTAATAGCTGGAAAAAAATACCACCTCACAGACCTGTATTTAAAAAGAAACAGAAATGACTATGTGAAATTTGCCTGTCCAAACATTTCATCCGTGTGTGTGTGTGAAACCATCATTCATCTTTTTATACGGGGTGGTTGTCTCTTCTTGGTCTGTTTGGTCCCCTCCCTTGTGGGCTTGTGCTTGGGATCAAATCCTTCTGGCCTGTTATGATTCTGAACGTTTGACTCCGACCACAAGTGAATCTTTCTGGTGACTCAAATAAAAGTCTAATTTTTACCTGTGGACTTAGTTTTCTCTCTGGCTCTGACATGCTGCTGTATGTGTGTGTTGCATCTGTTTGGGGGCATTGGCCTGGCACCCTCCTGGGAGTCCTGCCATTCTTCAGGGAGAGAGACCAGTTTGGAAGCTGTCAGCCTAGAGTGGCAATTTGCCTTGGCACCTACTTCCTCCGTGTTGAGAACTCCCCACCAGTCTGCTCCTGGTTACATCCCCCTGCCCAACTTGGTGACACTGCCAGAAACTTCCAAGTTCCCATATTCTCTTACTGTGTGACTTGCGTCACTATGCACCTGTCTCCCCACTAGCCAGTGTACTTGCAGGGCGAGTGATGGGTCTAATTCACCTTGAACCCCCGGTGCTCGCCCAAGGCCAGGCACAGAGCTGCTCAACAAATATTTGTTGAATTAATGAATGAGCTCCGCTGGCGGGTAGCTTTAGCTCTGCCTGCACATCGTAGGCACATACTTGAGGAATGAAATGACGGAGGGACTAGGACAGTGTGCCGTGGGATAGGACAGGGATGAAGCCATCTGTTAGGTGATCTGACAACCCAAAACAGTATTCACGATGCCTTACAAATGGTCTTTGACACACACATTTTTAAAAAAGTCATTAGCCCTGTGAGAGAAGTAACTACCGTGATGTCCATCTTATAGATGGGGTTCGCTAACGCCCAGAAAGGCAGTGGTTTGGTGGAAGTCACAGCTGGACTGGAGGTCTTAGGACCCCGGGTATGATGCCCACAGCCTCATGTTACCTTGCTAGGGTGGACTGTACCCAGCCCTTTGCAGGTCTCCTTATATCTCCTGTGCTCTGACCAGAAGACCAGGTGGCCTCTCTCCTGTGGGGTTGGGGAGGGGGCAGGGGTAGAGAAGGAATCCAGGCCCTCCCGCCCTGGCTCAGTGCCACCTGTTAGCCTCATGCCCAGCTGTTTGGTGGAGAGGGGCGGTTCCCACTTGGGGCTCAGAATTCAGGCATTCTCTAGCTTCAGGATGACAGCAGGGTGGAAAGGAAAGGGCTCCCCGGAACTGGGCCTGGACGGAGCTTTCCTAATGAAGGGAATGATGGTCATCAGCATGCCAGGCTGAGTCAGCAGGGCTGAGCGGTGCGGGAGTGTCAGAGGCGCCTGAGGCATAATTAAAGATAATATTGACACCTGCTTCTCTGGAGGCGGCTGCCTACTATTTTCCCACTAGAAGGGAATGAGTTGGCAAATCTTGCCTCCTGTGGGCCTGGCCCCTTTTGTCTGAGAGCTGCAGCCCCCTCTCCCCAGGAAGCTTCATTCACCTGAGCAATTTGAGGGAGCAGCCAGCCTGCTTGGGCGGGAATCAGTGCTCTGCTGATGGGAGGAGTTTCTAGACTCCCTTCTAGAAGCGGTTTAAGTTCCTGAGACCTAGCAAGAGGAGGGGGGATACTAACACTTCACCCCCAGGCCCTTCAAAAGAATTATTTGGGCGTGGAGCCATGGACACTAGGCCTCAGAGATGTCACAGGAACTTTTTAAAATATACATATATTTTTAAATATGTCTTTATTGATTTCAGAGAGAGGAAGCGAGAGGGAGAGAGAGAGAAACATCAGTGATGAGAGTCATTGATAGGCTGCCTCCTGCACGCCCCCTGCTGGGGATAGAGCCTGAAACTGGGGCATCTGCGTAGACCAGGAGCTGAACCTTGATCTCCTGGATCCTAGGTCAATGCTCAACTGCTTGGCCACCCCGGCCAGGCAGGAAATTTTTAAAATTTAATAGGAGATAATAAAGACATAAAAAGGCATAAAAGTAACACAGTACATAACTGAGTACCCACTACCCAGCTTAAAAAAGTAAAACATCAATTTTTTCCTTTCCTTTGCCACTCGAATTTGCATTTCTAGACACTTACTGCGAAGGGATGGGCCTGAGGAGTCCTCAGTGCCCTCTCTGGGTGTAACACCCCGTGTTCTCTGAAGATGATACAAAAGAGAATGAGAATGTGGGTAATGTCCACAAAGAGGCAAGGAATAGAGAAGGGGGAGGGACCGCTGGTGCTTATGCTGGGCACAGAGTGAGCTGAGCCAAATGCCTCGCAGCCTGAGCAGTGCAGGTGGGGCCGAGAGGCATCTCAGACTAAGGCGGGCCAGTCTGGGCGAGAGCACCATACAGACTCCGGAGCGTGCAAGCTTAGTTTTGAATCTTGGTCTCTGCCATTTCCAGTGAGCCACTGGGCAAGTTCCTGACCATCTCCGAGCCTCGCCTATAAAAGACCTGTAGGGAGGTTGAGTTTCCACCATGTGTGCAATATCTAGCATAGTCTAGAAAGTGTTAGCTCCATCCCAAAGATGCCAGCTGAGACTCGCATGAGACCTTTGTCTCTGTCCCTCCATGAAGGGACCTTCGCAACTTGCCAATGGCCCACCCAACTCCCAAGCATTCCTTTTCTGAGAGAATTTGCTGGGGTTGTGTGAGAAGACAAGGAGGAAGAAAGGCAGTGAGGAGGATTCGTTCCTAAGGGATCTGGATAGAGATCAGATCTCCTCCGGCCATATCAAGCAGACTCCGCTTAGATACAAAGGGGTGGGATTGGGTTCCTGGGGAGAAATCGAGCCTCTTCAGTCCTGCTTGGTCTCAACCCAGCGGTTCCTTGGTTACCCGCTCCGGGGCCTCCTGATTGGTCGGCTGGGGGTGGGGAGGGGTGGGGTAAAGTGGCTGCTCCTGGAGCTGCAGCATCCCCGAGTCTCTGGCCCTGGAAGGGGGAGGGGAGAACGAGGGCTGAGCGGTGGAGGGAGGAGGGAGGAGGGAGCCATTTCTCTCCACTGACTGCAACCTCCGTGCTCACAGCTCACATTTCCCCGGAATCCAGAGCCGCCTGGGCCAAGGCCTCCATAATGCTGGATATTTTCATCCTGATGTTCTTTGCCATCATAGGCCTGGTCATTCTCTCCTACATTATCTACCTGCTCTAGCGGCCTGCGGCGGCGGCGGGAGCTCGCGGAGGACAGCTCAGGGGCAAGGATGACGCTGACTGGCCCAGCACCCTGCTTGCTGACGCACCGGTGGATTTTTGCTTCTGGTCATTATTCCGGGTATTGATTCAAAAACAAAATGAAAAGCGATCTTGTTTTTTTTTTTGTTTTTCCTCAGATGCATTGATGTAGCATTTCTCAGACCACTCTGAAAAGAGTAAGAAATGCCAACTTCTTTCTTTGCAACCTAATTTAAAATACGATTTTTAAAAAAATGAAACCCACAATGTGAAGGATTTTTAGGTAGAATGAGCTGGGAGTGGTGTGCATGGTGGGAGGGACTATAATTTCGTAGTTTTTTTCTTCAAGTTGCCCAAACTCCAAGTTGTCCATTCTTTCCCGGTAATTAAAGGTAAAAACACATCATTATGTGCCAGCAGAGTGGTTTACAATTATGCTTGCATAATTGCATTAATTAGTGACTCATTCTCACTTGAGGATGAGCTAGGAAATGAAATTCACTTAGGAGTGGGGTTTTGGGGGGAAAGATATGCATTCTTTTCCAACTGTGGGGTTTGGCAGAAAGGAGAGAGGAATTCCTATTGCTTTTCTTAGTTCCCAGAGACTAAGACCAGCACTAGGAACGGAAACCTTTGCTGCCGTTCCCATCTGAGCCGTGTTGTTTCTGGGTTTCCCACAGTTCCTGGTCACCAGTCCAGCAAGAGGCCCCTTATCAACACAGCTGTCCTGTCACCCAACAGACCTCTTCCAGAGCCTTCCGGATATGGTTAACCCCTGTCCAGCAAGGCGCTTTTGGAGCTCAGAGGCTGAGGCACTCGGCGGGGACATCAGGAACTCGTGGGCATGGCTGGCAGGTGTGCGCGCGTTTGAGCTATAAATTGAGAAAGAACACAGAGAGCTGAAATGTAGACTCCTTCAAATGATCATGGAGGAATTCTCAAAATTCATTCTGATAGGATAGCCTTTCCTTACGTCTTCCCTTTTCCTCACATGAAGGTGTTCCTTTGTAAGTCCAAGAGCACATGTGTCTCTACCTTGTCCCTTTATCACTCTGTCATTATAGATTGCACAGTCTGGGGTTGTGTGGTTTCCCTTGTTTTTAGTCTCTAGCCAGAAGGAACTTGTCATTCGAGTTTTTAAGATTTAGTTTCCCCACTCCCTACCCTTGTGCTCCAGCTTCTCATGTAAAGAGGGAAATGGTTATATGGTCTTCATTCTTTGTGCTTGGCTGAGTCATAAATTATTGAAACAAGATGGCTATACTTGTTATTTGGAGAAAACCTCTCTCTTACTCCAAAAAATAAATGTTTTTTAAATTGTTAAATGTTCCTTTTCTGGGGAAAAAACCCAAAACCTTTCAACATATTTTCTGTCCAATTAAGATTAAAGAAACCATATATTTTGAGGTCCAGAGAATACTTGGGCCCCAAATCTGTGGTATCTATTCCTTTGCAAAATCCAACATAATTGTTCTACATTTGATTTTCTAGCTTAAAATAAACAAGAAAGATGAACTTAATAGTTTTTATTCATAGCATTGTGTTAAACTTCCATGTTTTAAAGAGAAATAAAATTGAGGCAGTATAATATAATGCCACAATTAAAATGAAAAACTTGCATTTTAGAATTCTGGCTAAGAAAAAACACTGTTCTAGAAGCTTTATCTTGGCAACAAATTATGTGACCTTCAATAAGTCATTGAACCTTTCAGGGCTTCATTTTATTCTGACAAATGAAAGGGATGGACTAGAAAATTGTCAATGTCCTTTTCCATTTTAAAATTCTACAATTCTAGGATGCATTATCTTTAGAAACTACATCTTTGAGAACAGAAATCCCATGAAAAAAACTCTTAATGGTTATCAGTAGTCTACTTTTCTGCCATTTTATGACGCAAACTCAACTGCAGAACTCTTTTTTGGCACATTGTGATGAGAAAAATGGCTGTTTTTTTTACTCCAAACATGTATCAGTGATACTTTGCCTAAGCTATTTAGGGAATATTAATGAGTACAGTACTACATGGTGGTAGGTAGCAAAAAGAGGTAATCTGACAGGTACCTAATGCAAAAAGTATGGCTCTGAACATTAATACATTCAAGGATGATCTTCAGTTATCTGTGGCGTCCTTGACATGACAGAAAGATTACCCATATTTTCAGTTACTTGTGAAATAATTACATTTTGGAAGAAATTTTGAGTTTGTGCTTATATCCATTCTATATAATATGCCAGTTTATAACAGCATTTTACAGTGTTCATCATTTTGATAATTTTTTTTTTAACTTCACATTTAAACTTTTTGTATATTAAAACACTGGAAAACATTAATTATATTCTGTAATAAGGTTCTGCATAAATTTTACAAATCTGCATCACAGGTCACTCATGTCCTATGAAATGGGGATTATACTTGGCCGACATCAATGTAGTAAAAACATTTCTAAATAATTATAGATTACTTAGAAAAAAATTAATGTCGCATAATGCTAAGAATCATTACACTAAGACCTGTTTTCTTGATTAAAAATAAGGGGTTTGTATGAAAGAGTGACGTATTTTATGTCAGAAGAAAGAGGATATATTTTGGGAAACAGTTAAATAATGGAAATAAAAATGTTACTAAGTTAGAATCACCTAAGACTCATTGCTCTGGGTATATGGAACCAAATCCAAACTTTCTGAGTTTGAAACTTAGCATGACATAATTTGTTAGCTTTCAGAAAATTTGTTTGCCTTTAAAAGGTTTAAGATTATCACTATTCAAACTTCAAAATCCCTTACATGTATCATTTAATTTAAATTACTCAAAAAATAATGGGAATTTCCCTTAATAAAGTACTAAAGAATAGTTGAATTGGAAAATTGTCTTTGTACATTACATGTTTTGCCTTTATCAACCATCAAATCTTTGTTAAGCCTAGAATGGCCTCTTCTAAGTTAGTTTTGCTCCTGTCTATTGCAAAGTCATATATACAGGGGGAAACAGAAAAAGTCATTGACATAACTTCCTATAAACTCAAACATACTAAGGAAGACATATTCAGAAATAGTTAACAACTTTTTTGTTCTTAGAAAAACACTGTAAGATCTTGTAGTCATGGGAAATTGCAGGTAATACACAATACTTAATTACATGTTTTGTTTTTTGAAACTGGTATTAAACTATAATAATTGTAACATATCTACTTTAGCAGCAAGTAAATATTAATTGGTTGGGAACTTGGTTATCTGAATTAGATAGCAGAATAGTATAGAATACTGTTCTACTTACAGATATTATATAATTTATGAGTTGTTGCTAGTAAATGAAATTATTTAATTAATTTATATACTATAATATTAAGCATAAATATACATATACATAAATATATAGCTAATTGCAACATTATTTTATGTTAAGACATTTTATACTTTGATCATGGTAGAGCTATAATTAACAGCTTAAATAAAAATAAGTTTCTCCACAAGAAATAATTTAAATGAATTATACGTTCAATGACTTGCATAATGACAAACTCTGGACAAGTTAGAAATGTTTCTAATTTTAATTTTATTTTATTAATATAAATAACAAATTAAATAAAAATTAGCAAATATTAAATATTTAAGTATCAAAGACATTTTACCATAAATATAATACTTTAAAATAACAATACATATTTTTCAGTTTTGTGCACCTTGAAGAAAGCAGTGATCTTAGAATACCTACAAGTATATATATATTTTAATTTAAAAGGCTTTTAAGAGTTATACTAAGGTTGCTGTTTTTTTAGTTTTTTTATAAGTCTCTAGTTACTTGAAAAATTTTCTGGAATTATATTTGCTTTCTTGATAAAAAAAAAAAAAAAAAAGTATTCTTAGTCCTTTGGCACTTTTTTTTAACCTAGAGAAGACTGTCCAATACAACTATCTTTGAGGTCATCTTTCCTATTCTAGTGATGTCTCAATAAACCAAAGAGCCTATGTCCACAGCCTGATTTCTTACAGGTTTCACAGCTACCTGCTAGTGGAATTTTGGTAAAGAACTTATATTGCTAGTAAGGTATCCAATAACATAAAAGGCTTTTGTAGCAGCTTTGTGTTTTTACCCTTCACAATATTTACTGACATAAAAATCTGTAATCATGTAATTCAGTACTATAAGATGGTTCCTCCAGTTGTACCTTCTGCTGGGCACTTCACACTTGCTCTAATCTCCAAAGGTGAATAATTATCCTGGCAATAAAATCTTTGTTATTAACAGAACAACTAGAAGCATGAACTAAGTCATCAGAGGACAGGAAAGGTGTGAAATAGGTGCCTCTTGTTCATGCTATGGAGAGCAGCCTTGAACTCTTAAATGCCTGAAAGGCTTCCCAAGTATAGTAATTTACTGCCTCCACTGTGAAAATGATAAAGCTGAGGAGTCAGAAGGGCGTGAGAAGGAATTATCCAAAAAAGTGTTAAGAATAGATGTTTTATGGTTTCATAAGGTACAGAGTATTTGTCACAAGATATAAACTTTAGTTTCTAAGAAAAGTAGCATCATTGGTTTGTTATTAGTACTATTATGGTATTGTGTGTGTGTGTGTGTGTGTGTGTTTAGAAACAATAGTAAAGATAAATATAACATGTCATTGAGCTTTTGGGGGCTTGCCTTCTCGTGGAAGTAAAAATCATCCTAAAAATCGAAGTCAAAGGAGACTGAGGAAATCACTATCAAAAGGAAAAAAGAGCTAGAAGCCCAGGTTAATCTTCTAATTCAGAAAAAGGTACAGGATAAATGATTTGACTTGCTAGTAGTGTATGTTGTTATGTTATGACTATTCTAGAGTTAGAAGTGAACAGTGTCCTAATGTTTTTAGGCTATTTATTTTGCACATACTCCTTTTTTGTGGCACTATGATTGCATATACCATCACTTAAACATCAATATTAATGATAATATATGCCATCGCAAGTTAAGTGCCCACTTTAAAATTTGATATCATACTTTATTCTTAATGACAAATGTATTTAGCAAAAAATTGGACTGCTGGATTGAGGAAATTTTTGTCTATTAATATTGAATGAATAAATTTTCAGTTTACTTGGTAGCAAGATGATATCATTTATCTACTACACCCAAAGAATGAATCAGATTTTCTATGTTCCAAATTTCTGGGGAGAGCGAGATAATCTCACAATTATCGAGAATAATGCAATAATGTGTTTTCAAAAATTTACAGCAGCAGTCATTTCAGTTCAAGTATGTGATGAGATTCAAAATCCAGGTCAAAAATCTTTTAAATTAAACTATTCTCCTTTTGTAGACTTTCTGAAAATAACTGCCGTAGAGACTTGGATAATTCAGGGAACGCAAGGAAACTTCACAATGACAAATGCTTCTCTAAGAGAAAGAAACTTAACACCTATCTAGTAAAATACTGAAAATATTCACTATTTATATTAAAATTTTTACTTTTTTCCTTCATTTTTCTTCTTTTTCCCCAAATAATCTAGTATATTCTCAAGTTGAAATCACCAGTGTTTTGATAAATAAATGGATCAGGTTTTCCAAAGCATGTATGAGAATAAAAGTGAGAGAGAAAAGAAAAAGCTAGCTAAGATGTTTTGTACTCTGGTATCTGCCAACTTTTAATCTTCATAATTTAGTGGTGAATTGGAAGGAAGAAAATGAAATTGAGAAGAAAATGAAACCAGGATAAAAGCAAGGACTTTGTTTTTTTGCATAACTCTACAAATGATAAACTCTGGAGAAACAATTTCTGCCACCGATGGAATTATAGGTGGACAATCCACCAAAGAAAGGCAGTTAATTTCTGATCATGCATAAAATAAGGTTAAGTGCTTCTGCTATTGAAATATAATAAAATCTTATCAAAATTTATATTTTCTCCACAATTTTTGTTCTTCCTCAATCCTATTAAATCTCTTACTGAACCCTCTTACCAAATACTTGAGAATTTCCCACAATTTATACCCTACTTCTGCAGGTAATTTCTATATCTTCTAATGTTTTTTCCCTTTATCAGCTTGAGAGGTGAGTTAAGTGAAGGGCCGAGGAAGAGAAAGCCAGCCTCTGAAAACTCGAGTAGGAAGGGGTGTGTCTTCAGCAGAAGTAAAATGATCAAACCCAAGAAGATGGGAGATCCAGGAGGGCTCCAGCATTTCAGCACCATTAGGCACTATTATTTTCTACTTTAATAGTAAAAGTGGTGGTGGCAGATGCTAGTCTGACTGAAATAGTCCTGGAGCTTCTTGGAATTCATTTACTTGAGTGAAGAAAAACCCCACTCATGGGCTGCTTTAACCATCCATGCCTCCAGTTTCCTTCAAGTTCTACTTTAAGATAGGGAGAAAAGCTTTAGGAAGAAGTGTAAATTATTTGTGCACATTGTGCTGGCAGCAGAATAGGTACTTTTCTTTCATTTTATATTTTCCCTTATTTGCAACACTTTACTTTAATCCCCAGGAAATAAAAGATGATTTGCATTAAAACAATATGTACCCCTCTCTATGTATAGACTTTTTATATGATTTGTCTTAAATAAATATATTTGTGTATATGTACATTTGATATGTACATATATGGATATGGATATACAGATATACACATACTTCCTTTGGTTTTTGATCTGTTGGTTCATACAAAATGTGAACAAAATATAATGTTCTTTGTAACTATATGCCAAGAAGGTGATTAAAAGTGTGATTTATATCTGCCCATTCCAAAACATCATATTGCAGATCTTCACAAAACATTCTAAGCTATGTCTACACAATCTAAGCAAAGCGAACAGATACATACTGTTTAATGAATTTGGGTCTGCTCAATTATAAAACAAGATTTTTTCTCTTGCTTCAAAGATCCACACATACAGGTTGGCTCACCCCAGATTCTTGGACACTAAAGTTACATTTTGTTTGGTGTTAGGTTTACCAAAATCTGGAGAGGTACAGCTTGTTTTCCAGAGAAATCTCAATATATTCTCGAGTTTGCCTATAATTTTTATATTAATAATGGTCTAAGCAGTTGCCAACTAAAATTCTATGCAACTTTAGGATGACTTAGGTGATAAAAAGTCCTTTGGATGCTGTTCTTTGATTGTGGAAAGTAGCATTCTTCTAATTGTTAGTTCAGTGAGGTAGTCTCTAAATGCAAGGCTTTCTGAGTATTTAGGTAGAGACAGAATTGATGGTCAAATACAGGACCTCCTTGTGGAAGTTAGCCTGAGCATGCACAAGATGGAACAAATTCAAAAAGATTCTGTCCTCTTCATCACGGTCTCCTACATGCCACACACAAGAGTGGACAGTGGGGGAAAAATGACAGTTAAGTTTTAAAATATAGGATCTATTTAAAACATAAGACGTTCCAATTTTTCCTAATAATATGTAGCAGGAAACTAGTTAGTGATCTTTACCAAATCAGATGTTAACCACTGAAATAATGGAATTCTATAAGAGCGCTGAATTAAAAGTCAGAAGAAAAGGATGCTGGTCCATGTTTTATTGCTTCTAACTTTACAGCCTAGGGTCAATCAGATAATTTCTCTAAGCTTTCGTTTTCTCACCTCTAAAATAGAGTTAATTATCATGTTGGCAACCTAATAAAACTAAAACAATATATATTAAAATTATACAAATACAGGATATTATGATGATTATGACAGTTGATAAGTGAGCAAGTTAAAATATTTTGCTGTGCAAAACTGAAATTGATTCCTTTCAGAGCAGACTCTTCAACTTTGTTTTCCATTAAAACTAATACCAGATTTAAAAATTTACAAAACCAGGAACTAAATATATCTCATGGAAAAAATCAATGTCTCCTCCTTCTATTCTTAGTTTAGAAATGAAAGTCTATACAGAATTATCCTTGTCTTAAGTGGAGACTAGAATGCATTTTATTCACACCTGCGAACCATCTACATGCATACTCACCAGACATAATTGACTGCAGCATTTCCATTATAATACATGCAAATGCATTTGCCACATTCTGCAGGAAGTTATTTTTTTCCACTGAAGTACTAAAGACTTTACAGACTCTTTGCATCATTTTAACTGCCCAATCCATGCAGTATAGTTCTTTCTCGCACACCTGATTTAGACATACAAAGCATTATGACAAATCTTCATGTAAAGAAAGCTACAGAATTTGAAAATTGTATTAACTATTATGGTTATGATTTTACATAATTTATTACACATGACATTACATTGAGTCTATAAGTAGGAAATGTTTTTATATCTAATACTCCTTTGCTTTCAAATGGTACAATTTTAGTGGAAAAAGATATGACATAAATAAAAGTCTGGTTCAAGATGATCATAGAATATTATTTTAAATTTAATTCATTTTTCAATTACAGTTTACATTCAATGTTATTCTGTATTAAAATCATGTACTCACCTGGTTCCATACATAGTTATGATATTATTGACTATATTCCCTATGCTGTAGTCTACATCTCAGTGACTATTCTGTAACTACCAATTTGTACTTCTTAACTCTTCACCTTTTGCACCCAGACCCCCAACCCTTCTCCCCACTGAAAACTGTCAGTCTGTTCTCTGTATCTCATCATAGAATATTATTAATGTGAGAATATTAAAAACAATTATTAAACTTATGGAAAATAAGCTCATTCACTCACTCAAGAGATATTTACTGAGCACATGCTAAGAGGTGGAAATACTATGGTAAGCCATAAAAACATGGCTTCTATTTTCAAGGAGTCCAATCAGGGTGACAGACAAACAAGAAATTTCAATAGGTAAGAGAACTCTATAGTATTATATTATCAACTTTCCATCTTGAGAGTTATAGAAAATATTTATCTTTCTATTATTTAAAAGATAAACATTTAAAGGAAAAACTACATGTTACTAGTTAAAACTGAAGAGAAAAAGGTTTATTTACTAACATTATAAATGGCCATTTTAACTCACATAGCCAAATAATATACAGCATAGAAACAAACTTTATAGTAGTGTAACTAAATAATGTTAATCTGACAGGAAAGCTGTATTGACTACTCATGTGTAAGGCATGGTACAAGGCATTATGAAAGAAACAAGTGACACTGTCCTGGATTTCAAAGAATTTGCAATCTGTTTTGGGAGATGACTTACGGCACACATAAAATGGCTTAAGAATACTATTAGTAAATGAAAATAAAGAGAAGACAAATCTGAGGCAATTAATTATCAGAGTTGAGATGGTAATCAGGGAAAGCTTTCTGGAGAAGGCTTCTTCACCCTTAGTGACTTCCTCTCCATTCTGTTTGCTATAGTGCTGCCAAAGTGACCTTTAAAAAACTTGAAACTGATTATCTCTTCCCCTTCCTAAAACTTTTCAGCAGCTCCCTATTAGAGGATGTGTTCAAGCTCCACAGATAATCTATAAGGCCCTTCATGACCTGGCCTCTCCCTTTCTAATCACGCCTCCTTTTCTTCCTCTTCTGCACATTTTATCCTTCAGAAATAACACTGAGCTGCTTACAGTCCTGTGAATATAGCCATGCAATTCCATTTCTCTTTCTCTCTCTTTTGGAGGGAATCCGCTTAATTATTAAAATTAATATTTATATTGAAAATACAGTTAATTTAGTAGCTTTATTCACATTTTAAAAAGAGCCACAGAGGTTTCATTCATGTTTTAAGCAGTTGAGCTAGTAATGACCCTGTCTCCATTTCATAGGAAATGAATTACATTCACTTATTCCTCACAACAGCCAACTGGAAGATCACTCCTTTGCTTTTGAAGCACTTGTTGAGCTGGCATCTGTGATTGTAGCCAAATAAATTATTTGTCCCCTCTATCTGCCTTGTGAACTTCTATTCATTTTTTAAAATAAACTGGGCTTGGGAAAGCCCTCTCTGTCCTCTACACTCACCAATATCAGCTCCTCTTTGCTACCTCTGTTTCTACCTTTTTGCATATATAGTTTTGCATTTATCTCACTGAATTTATTTATATATACCTTAATATCTCTCAAAAGACTATAAACAGCTTTTTGTCAGAGAACTGTCCTACTAATTTCCATAATCCTAGAATCTCATACAATGTATGGCCCATAGTAAAAACTCAATCAAAAAGTAAAATGAATAGTATAATGAACACCTTGTACCCACTTTCCAGCTTACTAGTCTTGTTTCACCTTAATCTGCACTCACTACCACACCCTCTTCCTGCTACCCACTGATTATTCTGAGGCAAATCAAAAGGAGTATTTTATTTTTTAACAGAATTTTTAAAAAGGAGGATATAACTTGGGAGAGCTATATAATGACAATCTAGACATAAAGTGGGGAGAGGTTAATACAGAGAATAATTCCAAATATGATAGTTTATTACATATATTTAAAAATTTTACAAGTATATATAAAGTATATACTTATTCTTTCAATATTTTGTACATATTTCAGTTCCTTCAGGACAGCTCCCTGGCAGGTCAACTATAATGTTAAACAACTTGTTAGAGAAAAATTTATTTTTTACTTACCAAAGCCAAAAAGACTATTAGTCTTGCCAGTTCAGTGGTCCGTCCATTCACAGCTTTACTAGCCATGAAAGTGAAACAGATATCATTCCCACTTAGGATTAGGAGACGTGCATTATTTTCTAGAAGCCACTCACGAGGAACCACTTTTATTAGAGGAAGAACAGTTACTTAATGAGAAATTGCACAATAGCTATAGTAAACATCATTAATTACATGCAATATTACATCACTTCATTGGAAATACAATTAGTGCCAAGGGAAAAGCTCAGAAAAAATGCTTTAGTGTTTCAATTACAGCATTAACTGGAGACAGAGATTACTGCCATGTCACAGCAGCTCTTACAAATGTACTAGTAATATAGTCAAAGCATTTCTCCTACACATAGATCAACAGGCAAGGTGGCCCAATGCTGCGGAAGAAAAGAAATCCTGAAAAGTTCAGAATCTAAAGGATTATGCATAGATGGGAAAAATGAGTTCACCTCTGCCATGCCCCTGAAAGAGGGTTTCTTCTTACACAACCTAGGAGGGTGTTTTTGAGAACTTGCAAAATGGTAATAATTAAATTATGAAGCTTTCAAATACTAATGGTAACAAAGATATATTTATAACATTCACAACTGAAGGAAAGTAAGTTGATTATATGCAGTCTCTTCAAACAATGCCTAATTCTTTAAATATTTTAGAGCATTCAATAATTTCCAATAGGCAAGTCATTTGTTACCTGTAGAGTTATTCTTATAATTTTATAACTGTATTCTAATAATAAATTTCTGTTACTCTGTGTGATATATTATTTTACCTGAAAGTTCATCTATAAGACTGATAACATCATCTGCTGTCCACTCTTTGATGCCTGTGTCATACAGTAATTTAATGGCATCAGCCAAACCTTTCAGACTAGATTCATCTGTAGGTTCTTCTATCATTTTCTGCCAAACCACTTGTCCTGAATGATAATTGAAACAAAAATTAGGTTATGACAGAATAGTTGGCTTTGTGATAAAGACTTCATGGATTGTTTAAAAAGGAAATTGGATTGCATAATGGAATTCATTACTTATATATGCTACTTTCATAATGAAAGTCAATTCTGATAACAGTATAAATTTGAATGTATCTGACTGATGTGATGAAGCACAGCCACAAAAGCTAAATGAAGTAAAGAAAAGGTAGTTTCACCAAGCAGAACAGTGCTTTTAGTTCAAAGATAATGCTACCCCTATAACAGAAACTGGAATAAACAATTAATGTAATTTTACTGAAATATAGTAAAATCTGAAAATGAGAACATGCTATATTTGAAGATCTTCCACGTTTATATCAAAACAGAGTAATCCAGTCAATTTTTTATTATTTACCTATGACCTATTCTCTTTATGAATTACACAACAAAATTTAATCCTAGATTGGCTTCTTGCTGCTATTCAACATACTTTAAACTGGTTACCTCCTGATATAAGGCAATGTGAACTAAAGAGCTATATGCTAATTTTAATATTAATCTAAACTTAATTAGAAAGACAAAAAAATTGCAAAAAAATCATTATGCACCCAAAATTAAGTAAAACACTAATTCTGACTTACTACTTTGATTTACTGGCACTATTAGTCCCCTCCAGCAGCAAACATAATCTTGAATTAAGGTAATGTTTAAAAATGAAAAGCAGCTATTTTAGGTAAACCAGAGATGATAGGAATATATTTAGTAATGGCCTTCAGGGAACAATTTCTGTCTTGAAGCTTAAGTTATGCACAAGTTAATGTAGTATAAATCTATGAAATCATTAAACATTTTAGGCATTAGGAATGATGAAACTGAGCAGGTACAAAAAGATATGCTTCCTAAAGTAAACGTAATTAACCAGTTTTATAACATATGTTGCTAAAAAATAGATGCTCACCATCTTGAGGAGATATTGGTCCAAAGATGATATACAGTAATCTTGCCTGATTCACCATTGGCCACGGTTTTAGTATACGTGTCAACCAAAAAGCAGAATCACTTCTATGTGTCCAATGATCAAATAGGACATTCCTACAGAACAGTCTGATCCTTAACTCCAGTTTTCGGGCATTTCCTATGAACACAAAAGACCTGTAAACCATTTTTCCTGGAAAGGTTGCTGTGCATAATAAATAAGTCAAAGACATACATCTTTAATATGGTTTTTATTAAAAGCATTACTTCATTTTCCTCTGTAAAAATTTTAGATGATCAAGGGATTGTTTTTAAATAGCTTTATTGGGAGATAATTTACATAACCATACATAATTCCCATTTAAAGTGTACAAGTCGATGGTTTTTAGTATATTCTTAGGTATATGCAGCCATCACCAAGTCAATTTTAGAACGTTTGATCACCTCCAAAAAGAAATCCTGCCCTTTTAGCTATTACTTCCTTATCCCTCAGTACTCTACCACTCCCAGCCCCAAGCAACCAATAATCTTTTTGTCTCTATAAATTTTCCTATTCTGGAATTTCATATGAATGAAATCATATAGTATGTGGTCTTTTGTGACTAGTTCCTTTTACTTAGCATAATGTTTTCAAGGTTCATCCATGTTATGGCATGTATCAGTACTTTATCAATTTTTATGGCCAAATAATATTCCATTGTAAATATACCACATTTTGTTTATCCACTTATCCATTGACGGACATGTGGGTTGTTTCTACCTTTTGGCTATTCTGAATAATGCTGCTATTAACATTTATGTGTAAGTTTCTGTGTGGACATGTGTTTTCATTTCTCTTGGGGATATATACCTAGGAGTAAAATTGCTGGGTCATATGGTAACTTTATATTAAATCATTTTAGGAACTTGCCAGATTGTTTTCTAAAGTGGCTGAGCCACTTTACATTTCCACCAGAAATGTATGAAGGTTCCAATTTCTCCACATTCTCACTAACACTTGTTATCTGACTTTTTGATTCTAGCCATCGTAATGGGTATGAAGCGGTATTTCATGTGTTTTTTTAACAGCTTCATTGAAATATGTATAATTTACATACCATACAATTTATCCACTTAAATTATATAATTAAATAGTTTTTATTATATTACATTACCAATTTTTTTAAATTGTAAAATGTATGTAACATAAATTTTGCTATTTAACCATTTTTAAAGTATACAGTTCAGTGGCATCAATTACATTCACAATATCGTTCAACCATCACTGCTATTTTTAAAACTTTTCATCATCTCAAACAGAAACTCTGTAACCATTATACAATAACATTCCCCTTCCCCCACTTCCTGATAACCTCTAATCTACTTTCTGGTTTTATGAATTTGCCTGTTCTAGGTACCTCACATAAGTGGAATCATACAATATTTGTCCTTTTGTGTCTGACTTATTTCACTTAGCATAATGTTTTCAAAGTGCATCCATGTTGTAGCATGTATCAAAACTTGGCTCCTTTTTATGGCTGAATAATATTCCGTTGTATGTATATACCACATTATGTTTATGTATTCATCTGTTGATGAACACTTGGTTGTTTCTTCTTTTGGGGTATTGCGAATAATGCTGCAATGAACACTGGCATACAGAAATCTGTCCAAGCCCCTGCTCTCAATTCCTTTAGGTATATATTTAGGAGTGGAAATGATGGGCCATATAATTTTATGTTTTGCTTTTTGAGGACTAGCCAAACTTTTCCATAATGGTGGCACCATTTTACATTTTTATATTATTTATGTTCTACTTGTTTGTAGAAAAGACAAGTGTAAATGGAAAGTGGTAGAAATGTGGAAGAAGTGTCTGAGACACTGAGTAGAGCAATATGCTTACTTTATACCAAACTGATATACAGAGTTTTGGGTAATAAGTTTTGTTTTTGTTCATCCTAACCCAAGAATGGATATATATATATATTTTTTAATCCTCACCTGAGGATATTTTTTCCATTGCTTTTCAGAGAGAGTGGAAGGGGGAGAGACAGACAGACATGTGAGAGAGACACATCGATTGGTTGCCTTGTGCAACCCAGGTACATGCTCTTGGCCAGAATTGAACCTGGAACCTTTCAGTCTGTGAACAATGCTCTAACCACAGAGCCAAACTGGCTAGGGCCCGAGGCTATTTTTTTCCATTGATTCTCAGAGACAGTGTAAGAGAAGGAGGGAGGGGAGAGAGAAATAAAGAGAGAGAAACATTGATGTGAAAGAGACACATAGATTGGTTGCCTCCAGCACGCACCCCGACCGGGGTGGGGATCGAACCTGCACCCCAGGTATGTGCGTTTGATTGGGAATCGAACCCTCAACCCTTTGGTGTGCAGGCCGGTACTTTAACCACTGAGCCACATCTGCCAGGGCCCAACTATATTTTTATACTTTTAAACATATGTATGCAACTATAAAGAATATATAGAATTATTTTTCGTGTTTTTAATATGCTTATAAATTGTTTCATATTGAAAGTATTATTTGGTAACCTTTCTCTCAAATTATATCTTGAGATTTACCTATATTCATACACATGACTCTAGTCCATTTATTTTAACCAATAAGGTTTTTTAATTGTATGAATATGCCACAATTCATTTATCTGTTCTCCTGACAATGGGCATTTAGGTTGTTTGCAGCTTTTCATGGTTACATGCTATACTATTCGTTCTTATATGTCTCCTGGTGCACACAATGAGAGTTTCTCAGAGTGAAACTGCTGGATTGTAGAGTTCCATAATTTTTAAAATATAAAATATTTCAGGTATATACAAAGGTTTAATGAATACTACAATGAACAACTTTTGTCCTCCACCCGGCTTAAGTAATAAAATATTAATACAGTTGAAGCCCTCTGAGTACTTCTCTAATCACATGCCACTTGTTCCTCACTATCCAATTCAGTGTTTATCATTCCCTTATATTTCTTTGTTGTTTTACTATAAATGGGTGCCACAATTTATTTTTAAATACACTTTTGAACTGTGCTTTTTTTCTATTTTAATTTCTGTATAATGTCATTTCTGAATTGCAGTTCTTTACCTGGTTTGCTGAAGACAATGGTCTGCATCTTGCGGGAGAGATCAGTCAGCTCACATAAGAAGTTAAAAACACGATGGCACTCGAGTTCATCCCAACCTGCTGTTAAGGTCTGAGGATAATAAAATAAAGAAAACATTGCATATGTTCAGACCTCACATCAAAACATGAGTCACTATTACCTTATCAGCATATAACTATTGTAGCACATGATCCAGGTGATGTATAATTTTTATCCACTATGGAACTATTGAAATTAATAAGAAATTTTACATAAATGAAATACAGAAATAGTCCAAATCCAGTTTCTTTTTCATTGTAAAGGGAGTATGTTTTCAGAGAATTTCTAAATGTACTGAATCCTGAACTCTGACAGTATGAGGAAAATAAGAAAGGCCTAAACCCTAGAACACAGCTTTAGACATCTAACTCACAAGCATACTGTGGCTTAGTTTTAGACTATAGTAGAACCCCTTTGGCCCCCTCTAGCTATCATTTGTGATGCTGCTTACAAATAATAATGATTTCATTTTAATGTGACAATTTTGAGTATTTATGACATCTGGATGTGAACAAGCAAAAAAATTTTATTAGGACAAAATTTAATAATTATTTTTGAGCAAATTCAAATGTACAGTTAAACATACATGAAAAGGAAATTCTAATGATATATCACTATACAGTTGACCCTTGAACAACAGGTTTGTGCTGTGCAAGTCCACCTTTAATGTAGATTTTTTTCAGCAAATACCTGTAGTGTTTTCAATGTGAGGTTGGGAGTACCCAGATGTGCAGAGCTTACTGTATGCATTGATGTACACCATTTTATATAGGGGACTTGAGCATCTATGGATTTTGGTATCTGTGTGGGGTCCCAGAACCAACCCCCCTCAAATACCAAGAGACCACTTAAATTTGGGGGGAGTCAAAAGTTATACACAGATTTTCAACTGTGCATAGGTTGGTGCCCCTAATGTCTGTATTAGGGTCAACTGTAATTAGATTTTGAAGATTTCTTAAAATAGTTGACCTGGATTTCAGTAGTATATAAATTAATATATTATCTCTGGAAGGACATACAAGAAACTGCTAACATTGGTTAATGCTACTGAAGGGCACTCAGTGGACAAGGGACAGGCCTTAGAGGGAGACTTATTTTTCACTTTATACCATTTGTACCCTTATATAAATACATGTGCTCATATTACCTGTCCCCCCAAAAAAGAAAAAAGAAAAAAAAAGAAAGAAAAAAATCTATCTTGGAAGAGGGCCAGTGGGAGGGCCTATGGTGGCTGGCAGGCTGGGATATAAGCAAGATTATTGTAAGACTATTGCAAACCTCATAAGGTTGTTGTAAGTTTTAAATAAGTTAGTACATGTAAATTGCTTAGAATAGTATAATATATTAATAATATATTAATAATATTAACATTAAATTATGTTAATATCTTCTTTGTTTACAATGAAATAATGTTCTTAAAATCATACAGCTGATTTTTTTCTAGCTCTGTTGAGATATCACTGGCATGTAAGTTGAAGATATACAACATAGTGATTTTTATATATGTATATATTGCAAAATGATCATCACAAGGTTAGTTACATCTATCACTTCCCATAGTTACAATTTTTTTCATACAGTTGATTTCTAAAATCACATCTTAAATAACTAGCCCAAGACTTAAAACTCATTATACACACACACATCTCACCCCACACTATTTCTAGTCTTTACAACAGTGGCTAGAAACTTCGAGAATATTGGTATAGAGCAAGTAAATGTTAAATATTTCTTTCTTACCAGTGAGAAATCTAAGAAGAAAACCTGAGGTGGCAAACATTATTAGACTAACATATTCTCAAATTTTTACAATTTTATTGTGTTATTTTTTTAGATTATTATTATTTTTATTAACTCATGGAGCAATGGATTACATACACTACTTGTCAACAGTTCAAAAACATTCCTTTTCTTCTTTCATTAAAAAAATATATATACCTGTAAAAACATGCCATAACATGATAATCCTAAACATTGCATAGGAGTTGCACAGCCACTGAATTTAAAACAGGAAACCTGTAAAGAGAACAGCTATTAATTCCTCCTTTTCAGTGGAACTGAACAATGATTTCAAATTTAATGGAAATATGTAAGAATTTTGTCAGTATTACCTGAAAATAACTAAAAGATTAAATAACTGCTTAACATTGTTATATAGATGGGGATTACAAAAGAAATATAAAACAAAGGCTGCCGTCACAGAGCTCACATTAGGAGAATAAGATATACATATGTGAAGTTACATATTTAGATAATTCAGGTTAGAGTATGTATATATAGCAAAATGACTGAAAAAATACTATATCAGTTACTATGAAAGCAGGGAAATGATAAATTTGGAAATGATCAAAAAAGCTTATAAAGGATGTGAAAAAAAGCAATGTCTTAAAGTAGGAGTCAGATATAATAAATGGAAAGGATTGGTGAGAAACAATAAGGGCAAAATTGTATAGAGGTAGAAATAAAAAAAGTTTATTTGGGAAGAAAGATATGACCAACTTAACTAGGCTCAAAGTAATAGGAAGTACAGTTGCATTGTAAAGGAGAACCTTAAATACCAGCTATGGATTTTGGACCTTACCTTGCTGAAGTTGAGCACCCACTGAAATATTTTTAAGCAAGAAAATTAACTTGATGAAAGTGATACTTTAGGAAGAAAAACCTGATTCAGTGTTCAGAATGTCTTGGGGACTGAAGAAATGGATGGCAGAAAGATCATCTGGGAAGCTGCTACAGTAATAGAGACCTGAATTCCATGCAAATATTGACATGGAAAAAGCCAGTGCAGCCCGGCCGGTGTAGCTCAGCAGTTGAGCATTGACCTATGATCCAGATCGCAGTTCGATTCCTGATCAGGGCACATGCCCAGGTGGCAGGCTCAATCCCCAGTGGAGGGTGTGCAGGAGGCAGCCGATCAATGACTCTCTCATCATTGATGTTTCTATTGCTCTCTCTCCCTCTCCTTTACTCTCTTTGAAATCAATAAAGATATATATTTTTTAAAAAGCCAGTGTATCAGAAATAGTTTGCATAGTGAGTGTAGAACTATGCCATTAGTGTTGTATGTTTGGGTTTCTTACATAGAGATTATAATACATTGATACATATTTCCAAGTCATTATTATAAAAGGATTGTCATTTTATACATTAAAATACTTGCCTATGTTTTTGTATATTTAAACAATAAGATTTTAACATTCAGAAATTATTTCATTTTAATAAAATATCTAAATAACCATTTTAAAACATCCTCATGATTCCTATGTGGGGTAAAAATACTTTTATACTCTGATAAACCTAATAACTTTAAATGATATACTTAGTTATATAAAAATTATTTTATAATAATTAAAAGACTACTATACTACATTTTGGTGTTCTATAATCTTTAAGTACTTGGTAAAGTATTAGATTATCATCGATCAAATTTTTAGTACTAATTCATGGAATTCTACTAATATAGATCTTAAATGAGTATAAGACAATGATAAAATATCAAAATTGTGAACTAATTCAGAAGTATGATCTTACTTCTGCAAGTATCTTGTGAATGTACTTTAGTCTTTCCTTTGTGGGTAGCAGCAATGTACATCTTTTAAACAGTAAACCTGAGAAAGTTAAAAAAAACAACACATGAGAAACAGTGACAACAATGCAATCAACTTAAAAATATCTATAAAGCACAGCATAATGTTTCCTGAAAGTCAAGTATGGTATACCACAGTGAACTGTGAGCTGATATGTATTTTAAGAGGAAGTCTGGGAGGAAGGGTGTAAAACATTTATATGTTGATTACCGACCGAATGACTCTGATGTCAACCTAGAGGCACTGGCATAAAATTTTATAGAATATTGTGAAATTGATACTATAGGACAGATATGGAAAAGTTTTAAATTATTTAGATTTAAAAAGATACAATAACAAGACACAAAATACATAGGGAAACTTTATATTGTCTTTATTACATAGAAAACATATTCAAATATCTTGAAATTAACCTCATGTCCACAAAGGAAAATGTTTTGAATTGCAAAACATGGAAAGAATGGGAAAGAGATTTTGTATTCCTTTTTGGAAAAAAAACCTCATAAGTCCTTAAAATTTCAAAGGTTTGAAGTAAGTTTTGCCTACAGAAAATATCCAGTTTGGATGAAATATCTATTTCTTCCTTCAAAGATATCCTTTTATGGTGCTTGCATGTTAAGAATGTGTAGAATTTTGTGTTCAGATATTTAAAAATGAAAAGGGGAGAAAAAAAAACCCTCTTCAATCTCCCAGTGAGATATGTAACTTCAACTACAGTGACAGGAAGTGAATGATTTGTTTCCTCCAACTTTCAGTGGTCTGTTTTCCTAAAATGGTAATACATTGTTCACATTCCTATGAGGGCAAATGTCCTCAAATTAAAAATAAGATATATGAAAAAAAATAAAAATAAATAAGATATATGGCAGGAAAATATATACCTGAATATCAAGACTTTCTTCAGTTTTTATCTTCTCTGCATTTACTTTTTTAACATAATATAATTACTACTTTATATAATTCTGTAGACTATATGGGAATTTAATTTATTTTTAGAAGTTGCTATGTTTGGGTAACACATGACCAGAATTCAGTTTTAAACACAAACCCTCTCTATTTTTGTACATAAAAAGACATTTTCAGTGTTTGGCTTTTAGGCTGAGTTCTTCTCCTTTCATTTTTTGGCATCCAGTCCCATGGTATATCATAGCTGGGGAACTGTAAGCTATGATTGTATGTTGGTTGCCTTTTCTAATGTAATACTCCTATTTTTAAGGGTTGCAATTTACCATAAAAACCAATACTGGCTGATTTTTTTTTTTTTAAACACAGGTGCTCTGCTATACTCTTTAGAGACCAACTTCTTTAATTTCTTCCTACTAAAATAGAGTCAGATGTAATGTTCTTTCCATATTGGCCATCTGCTCTGTTTTGTATGAAGAAGCAAATTAAAATTTATAATGTTCAAAGAGCAGGATTCTGAAAATGTTACTTTAACGTCTGAAAGCAAGAACAGATCAGACAGGAATAGCAACATGAGAAAATGGTAAGTACATCAAACATTTACCTAAAAAATCAGTCATAAGCCAGGTGTCTGCATCAAAATTAAGTGTAAGGTTGAAATCATTACATGACTAAAACTGTTTTAAAAAGCTAGCTATTAAGGTCAATACACATTTGTATTTTTAACTGACTTATCCATACAATTGTCTTAATGCTTTTGTTTGTTTATTTGTTTAAGCAATTGAGCCTTGGTCAGAGAGAAAATTTTCTTTCAGATGAAAACCAAAGAATAAGCTCTTTTACCCAACCACCACTTTCTCTGCAACTAATGATGTTTGGAGAAAGATATTTATAATAACAGGTAGCAAAAAGTAACTGCATATTCTGTTACAGACTTTACTAAGCCTAATAATAAATACTGAAGCCAATAACACTGTAATCAAATTATATACCTCTCATTTAGTATTGTTAAATATACTTGTCAAATACAGTTTTATATATTTACATCTATCTAATCTATCTAATCTATCTATTTATCTATTTAAATGTCTTCATTGATTTCAGAGAGAGGAAGGGAGAGGGAGAGAGAGAGAGAAACATCAATGATGAGAGAGAGTCATTGATCGGCTGCCTCCTGCACACTCCTCACTGGTGATTGAGCCCACAACCCAGACATGTGCCCTGACTGGGAACTGAACCAAGATCTGGATCATAGGTCAATGCTCAACCGCTGAGCCACGCTGGCTGGGCATATACAGTCTTATTTTATTAATTTAAAGCTAGGCATCCTCGGGCTTCTAAAATGTAATATTCAGTTGACTTACTTGTATACCTTTATTTAAATCTCAACATCACTTCGATATTTGGTTTTATTGCCATGCTTTGGTTAATTATAAGGTGATTTCATAATTAAATTGGTGTAATTAGTCAAGTCAAAAATAGAATTTTATTTGAGCACTCTTAGGGAGAATAAAATCAATAAATGGAGTGAAAGACGAATACAAGTAAAGGGGAAAAATTATACAAATTTCCTTTGATAAGGTTAATTTAATCATAGCATAATGACTTATTAGTAAATGTATACAGTGCTTTCAAAAAAAGAAAACTATTGTTTCTGATAAAAGAATAAGTGATCTTCCACAATAATGTGTTTAAATTTCTTTTCTATTTTAAGGACCAGATTATGGTTGAAAGGGAAAAGTGGTATAAAGATAAAACTCATTAGATCCAGAGGAAATAAAACAGAAAATACATCAATTTCCTAAACTGGTAAGCCACATGAAATCACAAGGGCTGACACTTTACATTAAAGTGCATTCCTCTCATCTTTAAAGATAAGTGTAAGGGACTGCTGTTAAGGGAAAGTCCTCACATTGAAGAGTAAAAGCATCATAGAAATAGGCACATATTAGGAAATATTCCGTTTCCCATGGGTCTTACAGAACTGTATAATAAAATCCCATTAAGTATAGTTCTTTACTTATTACATTTCTTATTACATAAATTACCTAGAGATCTGTAGTGTTCCAATACAGCAGAGTCTTGTCTCTTGCCAGGCAGCTCAAGGTCATGAAAGTCCTGTAGTAAAAATCTTTTGCTTCCTGATGAGGTTGAGATATAATTAATAATGTGCTGGCTGACTGTTTTGGACACCATGCTTAGCATGCTGATATCCTTCACTATCAAAGGAAAAATATATACATATATGTGAATGGCTTAAATACAAGAACATCACTGTTAGTACAGTGTAATAACATATAAGTTTGCTCATTAATAATAATAGTAAATAATAGTAAAAATAAAGAGGAAAAATCTTAAAATTGTTTTAAATTCAGTGCTCAATAAATTAGAAACATTTTGGGATGTAACAGTCAAGTTACCATGTCATTATAATTAGAAGCATGCTTAAAGAGTTTGAATATTGTACTTTCTCATTGTATCCCTTACCTAACAATGATGAAACTTTAGAAAATAAACAATGTGAACACCATTAATTCTGGCAGGGCTGAAGATAACAAAATAGTTCTTGGGAAAAATAAAAACATAGTCCCCAAACCTCACCTGACAAATATCTTAAGATTATTTGGAATATTTCCAATGGCAAGGCTTTAAAATTTCCAAGTGCTGATAAGGGCTGAGAATCTGGGTTAAGGGTGTTGGAAACATGGCTGGATCGACGACTACTACGTCTATATTTCTGGTTGGGAATCAAAGTGAAACTGGTATTTACTCTAGATGCCATCCTTTTTCTTATCTTGTGAAGTTACCCTGGTTAGAAAAAACAAAGTACATGAGAAAAAGAAGAAAAGAAATTATAGTGATAAAGAGTTGTTATTTTTTTAAATGAAGAGGTTGATATTTTGATGGGAAATATAGCTGTCTATATTTATAAAGTTTTTAATATGGTGTCCCATTTATGGAGTTCCCACCAGTAGTCTATTATTCATCTCAGCATAATATGAAATATTTAAAAATATTTTCCCTCTTAGCCAAATATTCTAGACAAAGACTTTTAGCAGAAAATGAGAATGTGTTTGGATGAAACATATTCTAAGAAAAGAAATATGAGAACATTTTAAAAAGAAAGATTTAACACAATAGAAACCAATTAAATCAACACATTCAATTTCTATCAATTAGTATGTTGCTTTTATAATCTTTACATTAAAAAGTCAAAATATTGATGTAGCTTTAAAATTCTGCAGTAATGTTTTTCTATTTCTTTAAAACTGAGCACTGATATCTTCTGTTAGAAATAATAAAAACAAAAAGATAAAAAATAGAGACTTTAAGTTTAGAGCTTTTAAAATTTTACTAGCTCTAAGAGATTAAGAAGGTTGTATTACTATTATCAATTAAATGCTGTGTAATATATAAATAAGCAGTGAAATTAAAGTCTTGTAAAATTAATAAGACTCAAATAAATAAAATAATAATTTTCCCTCAATTTCAGTTTTGGTTAATAAAAGTCACTGCTAAGTCTTAGGAAGTGTGAATGTGTGTATGTGTGTGGCTAACACAACTTGATTTCAAAATGAACATTTCTTAGAGGGGATTAAAATCACTGATAACTTACTTGTATTAAAAAATAATTTTTTAAAAAACTACTCATCACACACAGTGACATTGTCACTACCGCTCTCATTCAGAAAACATTGTCTTATATATATATATGTATATATGTGTATATATATGCATAATCACAACTCTAGCCTAAAGCTCCTTGTTTCCGAAGTAACAACTAAGAGCCTTCATCAGTTACAAGTATATCTGACCAAAATGCATTTTCTCCTTTTGTCAGAAAATTGCTAAAATTGTATTGTTACTTATTCATCTTAAAAGGTTACATATCAACTTATATCAATTTAAAATCAGTTACACATTTGAACACACGGCCAAGAAATTTAGTGCTTCATGAAAAGCATACAGTGAACCTTCTTTAAGACCATATCATAGCACTTTGCTTCAGCATTCAATGACCATTTAAATTAGCAGATTTTTTAAAATAATGGTTAAAATTATGCAAGTAATATATGCATTGTCAAAATGTTTACAAAATACAGCAAAACAAACAGATTAAATTTGCCTATAAACACTTTGATTTATATCATTCCAGAATTTCACGTATATATTTTTTAACAACAAATAAAAAGGGGGGGGATCACTGTTCATCTACTTTGTAATCTTTTTCAATTGTAATTAAAATTACAACTTCTTTCCATGCCAATAGATATATACTTCTACAAGTAATATATTTTAAGGGCTGCAAATAATTCCACCAAAGGGAAGAATCTTTATTTAATCCATGACGTTGTTGTTTTTCTCACAGTAGGTAGGCATTTTAAAGCAATATCATTGTTATAAAATATAAACCTGGCCCAGGATTTGCTTCTCTGAGGAACTTGTAAAGAGGAACTTGGGTGGGCTTGTGGGCTCTTCAGAGATGCACAACCCACGGGACTTTAGTGTGTCAACCACTCAGTGTGCACACACACACACACACACACACACACACACACACACACACACATATGCCTCTGAGAGGGTTAAAACACAATGCCCACATTCTTTTAAGACTAAAGCCTCTTTTTACAATTTCTTATTTTCCTCTCAGGCCTGAACGTATAAGAAGATAGCAGGCTTTTCTGAAAAACTTAAAGATGTAATCCCAAATTATTGCGGGTTTCCTCTCACCCCTCCAGGGAAAGAGAATCAGACCAAAATTAAAGCCACACAATGTTTCCACGCCCCCGGCCCAGCCCACTCATTTGACCATGTGTGAAAGGCTTTGAGCGCCCTCTTGAACTTTTTTCCCCGGTTTCAGAGGAAAACCGTCCCGCGGCTCTTCACCGGGATTTCGATTTTGTTTGAACCTAAGACAACCCTCTGAAGAGACCCGCCCCATCTGCTCGGGTGTTAGCCCAAAACATCTCCAACGAGGTGAACCAGGGAGGCCACAAAAGACAAACCGGCCAGTATAAGAATCAAACTACACTGGGATGCATTTTTTACCCCTTTCAGTTCATCAGAAGTTGAAACTACCTCAAGAAAATACGGGGGAAAAGAATCTCTTTTTACCACAGATTTTGACAGTTTTCCGACTAAAGAATCACAGGAAGATGGGATTTAGTCGCTCTGCCCCACCATCCTCAAGTCTCTTAATGTTTTTAAAGAAAAAAATCGCCTCAAGATTTTCCGGCCGGGAAGAGAGAAGGTCCGGCTCTGATCCGCTCCAGCGCTGCGGTCCCGCCTCCCAGGAGCCCCCTAACCTCGAGAAGATTTTAGAATCCTCCCAGGAGCCCCAGCGGGAGGGAGGTCCCACCCCCTCATGAATATTAATAAACCCGACTCCCATAGTGCCCTCCTCCCCGGAACCCAGGCCGGAGCCATCCTTTTGCCCCAAACTGAAGACCGGAAGGGGTGGAGCCGTTAGAATCTGGGGGCGGGGCTGGTACAAAGCGAGAGCCCCAACCTGGCGAGCCGTACGTCTGCTCTAAACCACTTCCTCCACTTTCAGCCTAGTGTTGAGTCCATTTTTTATTTTCCCCAACCCACCCCAATAGGGTACGTTACAGGAGCTTTCATCAAAAGTTCTGTTGGAAAAAAACAAACCCAAACATTCCTTTTGAAACCCATCTGGGTGCCTAGAATCTAAGGAAGAGGAGAGCCTCCGGCCTCTCAAGATGGAGTCCAAGACAAATCCTTAGGGCTTGGCCCTCCTCCCTTGAAGATTAAGTTCTCATCATTTATTCGCTCCTTCAGTGGCTAGTCATGGAAGCCCGCTCTGCACCAGTCACGAGTAGGCCCTAAGGATACAACAGAGAACAACACACAAAAAGTTTCCTGCCTCCACGGAGCTCGTTAGTCTAATGGGAAAGGGAACTAACAGACAAAATAAAAAACTACAGATGGAGGCGATGTTATGGAGGAAGTGAGGCAGCAGAAAAGAAGAAGGTAAGGGGGGGTACCTGTGCCTGCTTTAGATGGACAGGCCAGGAAGGTCCCTTGGAGGAGGTTACATTTCATTGGAAAACTCGTAGATGGGAAGGAGCCAGTCAGGGTTAAGTGTCGCGGGAAAGATTTGATACGTGCTAGGGATTTGCAAGGCCGGCAAATCACGACGTGTAGTGAGCACGTGGGACAGAGGTGTCCCGGAGGCGGGGGGAGGGAGGCGCAGACGGGGAGGCGCAGCGCCTGGAAGGCCGGAAAGAGGTCATTTTAGAACCTCTGTGGGCCCGGGACGCTCCTCTCAGGGGCCCACTCCGCGTAATAGTCAACAAAATACTATGTACCCGCATCTCTCATTAACATAAAATAGATACACAGCTATGTAAAAGTTGATTTGAAATTGAGGATTAGTTGACGTATCGTTATATAACATACTCACAAACATTTATTAATTTTGATTTTGTAGTTCTTTTGGAGTCAGGTCTCTCCACTCCCCCACCCCCGAGTACTTGTTATAGGCCCTTGACCAGATCTCGGCCCCGAGGCGTGGGCCAGGAATGAACTGCCCCGTGGGTGCGAAGATACTGTTCAGATTTTATTCAAAGTGCTGTAGAAAGTCCATCGAAGCGTTTTAGCAGAGAGTGATATGATCTGAGTTACATAATTTAAAGGTTTTTCTGGCTTTTAGGTAGAGAATAAACGAAGCAGGTAGGAGTGGAAAAGGTGAGATATGTTAGGGACGTTTTTTGCAGGACCGGGGTGGTGGCCCTGGAGACATAGGTTTGAAATCTATGTATTTTGGGCATAGAAGTGACTGAATTTGCTGATGGGTTAGATGGGGTAGGGGAGGGAATGGAAGGAGATAACCTCATTTACTGAGATATGCAAGTGGGGAGGAGTTTTTCTAGTGGAGAATTAAGAATTTAATTTTGGGGATAGTACGTTTGATATGTTAGGAGACATCCAAGTGAAAATGTCAAGGAGGCAGTTGAATTTGCAAGTCTGGAGGTTGGAGGAAAAACTCTAGGCTAGAGATATTTTTAAGAGTTTTCTGCATTAGGCAGTGCTTCTAGAGCCTGCCCACTCTCTAGGTCCCCAAGGGTGTATCAATCCCCCTTAATTCACAGTAGGGTCTTACCATCACGTTTAAACTTCAAAGAAGAGTTTTCTGCATTAGAGGAATATTGACATTCAGAGATTAGGAAAAGGAGGGCAAGGCCTCAAAGAGATTGAAAAGGAGTATGTAGTGGAGTAGCTGGAGAAAAACAGGAGAGTATAGAATCACATAAACCTGAAGCAAAGTGCTTCCAGAATGAGTTGTCAGCTGTGACCAGTGCCACTGAGTTCAGCAATGTGGTCGCTAGAAGTACTGAGGGTCCACTTTGCCATTTCCCATCTCAGGAACCTATGGTGACTTTACCTTGTCAGCCACATCAAGCGCAAATCCCTCTGCCATTTCTTCAATGTCCTCTATTATCTATTTCTCCCCTATTTGTTCTTTCGTTACATTTGCTCCATGCCTATTTTCTGCCAAATCCAATGTTAGCTGCAGGAAAAGTACAGATTCTGCCTTTTAGTGGCTCATGGTTACGAGCACCACCACCCCTAATAGGTATTCTGTTTCTTCTTAAGGGAACAAACCTGCTACTCCAGCAGGAATGAGGGGGAAGTAAGAGGGGGGGGGTGGCGGAAGTGACTCTTCCTTAGCAGATTTGCCCCTACCTCTCTGTGCTGAAACTTCCATCAGAAATGATTCCCCTCCTTTACAAATCTTTCTCTAGGTCCCACTTTAAGATTGTTTCTTTTTTAAGTATGCTTTCTCTCCTAAACGACACTGTAAACTCCTTGAGATGCTTTATATCTCTTTTGTATCTCTTATGAAGAACAACAGATACAAAGATGGATCTACCATGAGGTTGAAACTTAAGCTTTAGGGCCTTCTACTTGCATAGGCCCCTTCTAGTTTTTGTATTCAGAAGCAGCAGGTGGAAATTGAAGACATATTTTCTGATAGACTCTAAATTAACTAACTTAAAATATTTGTTGACTTATTAAGCTTGTTTTATTTATAAGGATTTACATGAGAATTTTAGTTATTGATTATATGATTCCCTCGCCCAGGAGCATTCAGTGGATCGCCAGTGCCTCTAAGTGAATACAAGCTTCCCAACCCGGCCTTCAAGGCCTGCTTCAGTGTGGCTGAATTTTATGTTTCCAGTCTCATCTCCCCAAACTCTCCTTATTTCCCCCAAATGGAACCTCTTGCTGTCACCCTGGTGGTGGTGTTCATACTGATTTCTCTGCTTGGAAGGCTCTTTCTTCCAACTCCACCTTTGGACATACTATGATAGCCATTAAGCCCTTGCTTTTGGAAGAGAGTCCTTTAGACCAACAATGTAACCCGAGAGCTTGTTAGAAATGCAGAATCTCAGACCCTGCCTCAGACCTACTGAGTCAGAATCTGGATTTTAACAAAATTCAGAGATATATTGACTTAGGCCATTTCATAGTCTACCTCCTATAAGAGTCTTAAACCTTTTAAAATCCCTGTAACAAGAAATGTTTTTCCTCTTTTGAACCAAGGTCCAAGGAGTGTCTTTCCCAAGGTTTTCAACTCTAGTATCCTGGCACGAAGCCAGTTTGAGTAATTACACTTATGTCATGTAAAATTTTGCCTGAGAAAGTGCTATATGAAAAAATCTGCTATGAAATAGTATGTACAGTATTACACTATTTTAAAAGAAAAATGTATAAAGGAGCATAAATACTAGAAGGAATGAGACTTTTAATATGACAGCAGTAGTTATCTTTGCTTGCTTGGCAATATTAAGTGGGGTTTTTTTGTATTATTAGGAAAAAATGTTAAAAATATACACTGTTGTATATTACTGTACCACAAATGGAAGAGATGGAGAAGGTTGGGAAAGTAGTTTTGGATATTTTTAAACGAGTATCATCAGAAACTGAAAGGTGGTAATGAATAAATGTACTGAAATGTTTAAGCCAGTTCATAGCTCTGTCTGGGACATCTCGAGGCAGGAGGAGCAAATAGCACGGCAGTTAGCGGATATTACCTCCTTTTGTATACCTCACTAAAGAAGATATACAGATGGCAAGTAAGCATATGAAAAGATACTCCGTATAATATGTCATCAGGGAACTGTAAATTTAAACAACAGCGAGATCCCATTACATAGCTATTAGAAGGCCAAAATCCAAAACACTAGTAGCTCTAAATGCTGGTGAGGATGTGGAACAATAGGAACCGTCATTTATTGCTGGTGTGAATGCAAAATAGTACAGCTTGGCCATTTCCTACAAAACATTTACCCAAAGTTGTTGAAACCTTATGTCCACACAAAAACCTGCACACGGATATTTATAGCAGCTTTGCTCATAATTGCTAAAACTTGGAAGCAACCAAGGCATCTGTCAGTAGGTGATTAGATAAATGAACTGTGGTACATCCAGACAATGGGATATTATTCAGTGCTAACAAGAAATGAGGTATTAAGCCATGAAAAGAAGTGGAGGAATTTTAAATGCATATTACTAAGTGAAAGAAGCCAGTCTGAAAAGGATATATATATATAGTGTTATGATTTCAACTACATGACGTGTGAAAAAGGCAAAACTATGGAGACAGTGAAAAGATCAGTGGTTGCTAGGGGCTTCAGCGGAGGGAGGAATGAATAGGCAGACGATTTTTTAGGCAGTGAAACAAGTCTGTGTGACACTGTAATGCTGAGTACATCTCATTATATTTTTGTCAAAACCCATAGAATGTACAACACCAAAAGTGAACCCTAATGTAAACAATGGGCTTTGGGTGACAATGATGTATCTATATAGGTTCATCAATTTTAAGAAATGTACCTCTCTGGTGGGGTATATTGATGCTCGGGGAGGATGTGCGTGTGTGGGGACAGGCGACGGGACAGGGGGGGAGAAATCTCTGTACCTTCTGCTCAATTTTGCTGTGAACCTAAAACTGCTCTGAAAAATAAAATCTATATGTAAAAAAATTAAGGCCAGCGCTTAGCCTTTAATTTAGAAAAAATTCTAGTTGAGAATCTAGAGTTTCTAGACATAAAGCAGTCAGGTTTTTAAAAAATATGTGTATGCATATCAGGTTTTGTGTGTGTGTGTGTGTGTGTGTGTGAGAAAATAATGAGCATTGTATTCTTCTCAAAACACAAAAATGAAATGTTTCAAAAACCTTTAAAAGATACTTTAAGAAAAACAATTTTTTGTTCTATTAAATACACCTTATCAGACCTCACGAATGTG